ACTAAAGGCAACCATAAAGAGATAATAGAAGGATTAATTTGATTATGTTTGGTTCGCTTGGTTTGCTCTTACAAATTCCAAGGTTTTCCTATCATTACCTTCTCTCAACCTCCTACTTTACCTTCTCTACTCTTCTCTACACTTGTATGAATTTGTGGTTGTGTTAGGTGTTAGTTTCTGTTAGATTAGTCAATAAAGTTTAATTTTGTATAAAGAAAGGTGCCTTTGTATATTTATGAACCTATTGTCTTAAACTTCGATCTTGTTACCCTGCTCAAACTTAATGGGTTTTTATTTTGATAGCAATAACGTCATCCATGGTCAACACTGACCGACGGAGGCCTACTGATATATATATATATATATATATATATATGTAGTGATAATTAGATTTATCAAATATTAAAATCAATATTTAGGTATTGATATTAATATTGATATTTTAGCCTCACACGGGGCACCAAATAATGTAGTGGTAATTGGATTTATCAAATATTAAAATCAGTATCTTGTTATTGATATTAATATTGATATTTTAGCCTCACATGGGGCACCAAATAATGTAGTGATAATTGGATTTATCAAATATTAAAATCAATATTTAGGTATTGATATTAATAATGATATTTTAGCCTCACGTGGGGGCACCAATTAATGTATAAATAACAGATAAATAACTCCTTTTAACGGGGCACCAGACAGCTGTCCACTGTCAAAATAATTAACAATAAAATATTGTTAGTTAAATTATACAAATGAGGAGTTTATTATCTGGCCAAATCTGAAGGATAATGAGATCGTTTGACTTGTAGAGCCTTTTTCTGTATTATCAACACAAGGAAGACACAATTGCAATGAAGGTGTATTTATTAACAAAATAGCAATCAAGGGTAACTACTAGGGATGTAACGGTATCAGAATTTCACGGTACGGTAATACCTCGGTATGAATGTCACGGTACGGTATTTATTGAATCATTTACAGGAAAAAACAAAACTTATGAAAATACTCCAAAAAAGTGCCAAAAGTGTCAATGACATACAAATTAGCCATCTATCTGTAAGCTTTGAAACAGGAACTTCAATTTTAATAACAAAAAATTATTAAACCATGTAAAAAAATAAAGTTTCAATTTAGTATTGTTGAAAACTCATCACATTCAACATTTAATCACACTCAGCCCATCTACCCAGATGAGAGCTCTGCTAGTCAGACTTCTCATCAAGCATCTCCCGCTGGATCTAATCTTACTATATTTATTAAACGGGATATTTCATTTATCTTGTTGTCTTTATCTAACGACATATTCCCTGACTTTGGGCATTGGAATCTATTACTTGTTCTCAGGTAACGTGTTTTGGCTGAGCGCAAAGATAAGTTAATGATTAATGTAACCACGTACATTCTGTATATTGACTGATCGCTTGCCTTTATTTCCTATAATGTATAAACTTATTGTATGTTATACTTTTAAAATGGCCATTATCGATTCTTAAAACTGATACTCAGCAAAAGAGAGGCTGTGTTTCGTATTTTCACTGAAATTGAAAGGAGGCAGTTGTTATCGGCTCCGTTTAGTTATAAATATCCACACAGTGAAGATGACGCTCATCTTATGCAGCACGACGCCTCAACATGTCTGCTGTCTAAGTTGCTAATATTAAAATGAAAATAGGCAGTTCCTTAAATCATGTTTACATTTTATTGTTGAGAAAGTGAAACAACGAAGACAGGGTGATGTGAATGAAGTTATAAAGTACACTGTTCCCTTTGAAGATTTACTCGTGTCCTCGGTATAGTCTGCTTTTCCATATCAAACTGAGAAGAAGAGACTGCAGCCTTGATCAAACTTGCGAAGTCTGAACTTACACGGAGAGAATGCAGGACTGGACTGTGCGTGTTAGGCTACTTAATATTCAGGAAAAGCCCCAATCAGAGAGGCGAACGTCTGCAGCCCCGCCTCCATTTTCAGATGTCTCCGTTTTCCATCATCCACACTGAGACGGAGCAGCAGCGATTCAGAATGAAAACGGCCTCTCCAGCGTTTTCGAAACGCTCCGTTTTCGGCGCTCGAGAACTCCGGCGTAGTGTGGACGGTTGGTGTAACCGTAGCAAAACTTATGCGTTTTCAAACTAAAACGCATTAGTGTAAACGGGGCCTTAGAGTTTTCCAGCTCTTTTCATCCCCGCTTCTAGCAGCACACTCCATTTCCGCATTACTGGATCTGTAGCGACAACAGACCGCAAGGGATGATGGTCAAGCATGGGCTGATGGGAGTTGTAGTTTTCGCTACCTCCCGTTCGCTTCATTCGCCTGAGCAAATTTTCTCAGAAGACCTATAGTTTTACCGAGTCATGCGACTTCGGTAATATCGAAAAAAATTAATATTGCGGTATGACGGTATTTACAATACCGTTACATCCCTAGTAACTACAATTACTAAATGTACAATAAATGAAGTGCATAGGCAAGTGATGAAGGTGATTAGGTTAAGGTAAGGTAAACCTTATTCTACAATAACAAAGAACTGAGGAAGGCTTTGTTATTAACGAATATCAGTTATAAACATCTAATTAATTAGAATATTTTATACTGAAACACACTATGCCAAGGTCTAATTTAGAGGGTTGTAAAGTGGTATATTTACGTTTCTGCCTTTGATGAAGTGGATGGAAGAAGTTGGATCTTCCTGCAAATCTTGAAGCATGAAACGAGCAGACTTGGCTCTCTTGAGCTTTGAGTGGAACAAAATCTGTAGTTTCTGGAACACGCAGACTGGAGATTTCTAGAAGTGGTGGTTCGATGTCGGGAACATGCCGACGTCTTTATCCTTGAGCGTAGAAATCTGTATCTTCTGGAACACGCAGAAATTGGAGATTTCTGGAGGTGGTGGTCTGATGTCGGGAACAAGCCAACGTCTTTATCCTTGAGCGTAGAAATCTGTATCTTCTGGAACACGCAGAAATTGGAGATTTCTGGAGGTGGTGGTTCGATGTCGGGAACACGCCGTTGCCTTTTCTTTGAAGGTAGAGTTCTTGAAAATCTGGGACATGCAAATTTTTGGATTTCTTGATGCGATGGTTTCAGACGCCTTAGAAAAAGCACTGTGAATCCAATTACCAAATCCTTGCTGGAACACGCAGCAAAAGTTCTGATGTCTAGGACAAAACCCTGCAAACCACCATGAACCACACTTTGACCACTCTTCGACCACCTTTTAGGACACACACACTCTTCTTAACAGACACACTCTTCTTAACAGACTCTTTAGCAGACATTTCTTTGTTTAAGAGAATGTCTTTAATACTTTCTCTGGAAGGCGGGATTGAAGGATGTCACCTTTCAAATCCAGCATTGTGATTGGATGATCCTGTGAGTTAGTCTCATACAAAAGGGTTTTTGAGACTCTCCATGTTTGATTTTGTTTTAATATACACAATTATGCCGTCAAACTGTTGTATAAACGCAATATCACACTCGTAGCAGTGTGATATGGCTGTATATCGGCACTGGTGGGGGCACTAAGGCACGCCTCCCACCAGTGCCGATACACAGCCATATCGCACTGCTACTCGTTTGATATTGCTCATATATATAGTTGGGGGGGACGGGGACGGGGGGGACTTCTTGTATGAGCACCTGCTCCAACAGCGCTCGCATCAATCTCCAAGGTGAAAGGATTCGTGACATCTGGTGCGGCAAACACAGGTGAGCTACATAAGAGAGCTTTTATGTTCTCAAATGGCTCCTGACAATCATCCGTCTATGCAGATTTGCAGGATGGACTTAGCAGTAATATAAATTAATTTGCAACGATTGAAAAATTCTAACAGAAATTGCCAAAAATCGATGCAATTTTTCACGCATAGTTGGAACTGGGAATTCTGCAATGGCATCTACTTTCACATTCACAAGTCCCACTTGACCATGACCCACCTCCTTATCTAAATATGTGACTGTAGCTTGTACAAAATCACATTTGGCAGGATTTATTGTAAAGTATGCTTTCTCAAAATGCATGTAAACGTCCATAAGATTGGAAATATGATTCGCCCAGCTATGGGAATAAATCACAACATCATCTAAGTATGCGTTACAAGTCTCTGAAAAGTGGCTGACGGGTTACACATGCTGAAAGGCATTACGCAATCTTGCATAAAATTATCCGGAGTTACAAAAGCAGACAAATCTTTGTAGCAGAGAACACAACGAAAGAGAGACAAGAAAGCAAAACAGAAAACATACACAAAACACTACAAAACATACATGAAACATAACAGTATTTTGAGCTGAAACTTTACAAAAACATTCTTGAGACAAATAGGTGACATTCAATGTGGTAGTGGCAGGAGGAAACGAGGTGTGTTGGTGCTCTGCTTCTTTGTCGCCCTCTAGTGGTAAGATGAGTGTGTGTGTTGTAGAAGTTACACGTAATGTTATATGTTAAGTAGATATTGTTGAATCTGAACTTATATTTTTATTTTGAAACCTGGTTCATTAAAACAAAAATTTAGCTATTAATATATTCCATATTAGTTATTGGTTATTTAATTCTCAGACCCACTCTGGGCCCAGAAAGGAGATTAAGTAAAAACTTCATTAACCCTGAAAGGAGGGAATCCACAGTTTTAAAATGGAATTATGTCAAACTTGAGAATGCAGGGGAAAGTCAGCCCCATTTCTAAAAGGGAAATAGCTTATACCCAGAATTAACTACTGTGGTAACTTTGTGAATCTAACCTGGTTAGGAGCAGGTTTTCTTTGGTAAACCTTTTTCAATACCACTAACATTTTTCAATCTCCTTATTGAATTGAGCCGCTGTTCCTTACAATGAGAAAACTGTATACTGTAAATTGTATACTTATTTGTCTATTGTTGACTACATTCTGCTATATTATTAATGTGATATGTTAACTTGAAACAACAGTGTTAAATGAGGAAACACTTATTTTGCACAGATTTGTAAAATGATTTAATGTTTGTTTCATTCTCTGACAGGGAGACATGGGAGAGGATGGCATGAAAGGTGAAACCGGAGAGAAGGTCAGTCTAAAGATCGATAGCTTTGCAAATGTTGATAATTTTAAAGTTACAAAATGATTTTGTGAAATTGTTATTCATTGCTATACAGCTGTAAAGCATATAGGACAATTGGCACATTCAGACATTTATTTAAGATTATGGGGAATTTACAAACAATGAATACATATATACAAGATGGATTGTAAAGGCATGTGTCAATAATGGAATATTAAATGAAATGATTAAATGACAAATTTAAAACTACAGTTACCATAATAATAATAACAATAATAATAAAAATTATAATAAAAAAATAATAACAATATTAATAATAAATATAGCTGCAAGCAGCAATTAACAGGGTTTAAGCAATTTAGCGGGGTAAGATTATATAGCAGTTAGGACGTCTGTAAGTAGTTTATTCGACAATTAAATAAATTATTAGAGTATTAAAGTTTGTAGATTGAAATAAAAAATGTTTGATTAAACACTCCAGAAAAGCAAGTTCGGTTTTTCCATATTGACAAATCTTAAATGAACATTTCGAGTGACCAATTTTATGTCAAAGTATTCATTATAAGCGGCCCTATGGTATAATGTGTAAGAGGTAGTAGCAATAGAGGTATATATCGCAGTAGGTAGTGCTGTCGCCTCACAGCAAGAAAGTCGCTGGGTCGCTGGTTCGAATCTCGGCTCATATGGCGTTTCTGTGTGGAGTTTGCATGTTCTCCCTGTCTTCGCGTGGGTTTCCTCTGGGTGCTCCGGTTTCCCCCACAATCCAAAGACATGCGGTACAGGTGAATTAGGTAGGCTAAATTGTCCGTAGTGTATGAGTGTGTGTGAATGTGTGAGAAGTTCCCATTCCCTCTCATCTCTTGCAAGCTATCTCTCCTGCAGTCATACCAACACTGACTCACATAACTAACACATCTCTTGACTCTGGTTTATTCCCCACTTCATTTAAGCAGGCTAGGGTAACCCCACTGCTAAAGAAACCCAACCTGGACCATACGCTAGTTGAAAACTACAGACCAATATCCCTGCTTCCATTCATGGCCAAGATTCTGGAGAAAGTAGTGTTCAATCAAGTCCTGGACTTTCTTACTCAAAACAATCTCATGGACAACAAGCAATCCGGCTTTAAGAAAGGCCACTCAACTAAGACTGCCCTGCTCTCGGTCGTGGAGGATCTAAGACTGGCTAAAGCAGACTCTAAATCATCAGTCCTCATTTTGCTGGACTTGTCAGCTGCTTTTGACACTGTCAACCAGCAGATCCTGCTACCTACGCTCGAGTCACTGGGCGTTGCGGGCACTGTTATACAATGGTACAGATCTTACCTCTCTGACAGGTCATTCAGGGTGTCTTGGAGGGGAGAGGTGTCCAACCTACAGCATCTAAACACTGGGGTACCTCAAGGCTCTGTTCTTGGGCCACTTCTCTTCTCCATCTACACATCATCTCTAGTACCAGTCATCCAGAGACAGGGATTCTCCTACCACTGCTATGCTGATGATACCCAGCTATACCTCTCTTTTCATCCTAATGATCCCTCGGTTCAAGCTCGAATCTCAGCCTGCCTGTTGGATATTTCACACTGGATGAAAGATCATCATCTTCAGCTGAACCTCGCAAAAACGGAAATGCTTGTAGTTTCTGCCAACTCGACTCTACACCATAACTTTTCAATCCAGATGGATGGGGCAACCATTACTGCATCCAAAATGGTGAAAAGCCTTGGAGTAACGATTGATGACCAACTAAACTTCTCTGACCACATTTCTAGAACTGCTCGATCATGCAGATTCGCACTCTATAACATCAGAAAGATCCGACCCTTCTTATCTGAACATGCAGTTCAACTCCTTGTTCAAGCTCTTGTTCTCTCCAAACTGGATTACTGCAACTCTCTACTAGCTGAGCTTCCAGCTAACTCTATCAAGCCTCTTCAACTGCTCCAGAACGCAGCAGCACGAGTGGTCTTCAATGAACCTAAACGAGCACATGTCACTCCGCTGCTAGTCCGTTTGCACTGGCTGCCAGTTGCTGCTCGCATCAAATTCAAAGCTCTGATGTTTGCCTACAAAGTGACTTCTGGCCTTGCTCCTTCTTATGTGCTCTCACTTCTGCAGATCTATGTGCCCTCCAGAAACTTGTTTTCTGTGAATGAACGTCGCCTCGTGGTTCCATCCCAAAGAGGGAAGAAATCACTTTCGCTTACGCTCACGCTCAATCTGCCCAGTTGGTGGAATTAACTCCCTAACTGCATCAGAACAGCAGAGTCACTCGCTTTTTTCAAGAAACGACTAAAAACTCAACCATTTAGTCTCCACTTCACTTCCTAATCTGCAATTGCCTAACTGTACCCCAAAAAAAAAAAAAATAAAATAAAATTTTAATACTACTAATACTTCCCTTCTTAGACTTTACAGACCTGAAACTTGCCTATAGCACTTATTCATTGTTGCTCTTAGTTGTGTAAATTGCTTCCTTGTCCTCATTTGTAAGTCGCTTTGGATAAAAGCGTCTGCTAAATGACTAAATGTAAATGTAAATGTAATGACAGCCATGTTTTTTGAAATATGCCAATGTCCTTATAGTATGTCATGACAACTTGGTCAAAGACGAAGGGGGGAGAAGGAGCAAGGGGAGGTATGGGAGGGTCAGACCAGGGAGGAACAAGAGTGAGTGTCCAATGTGGGTTTAGTGGGTCAGGTGCCCTGGCAGGAAACCAGGGATGCCCATGGACAATCCCGCAGGAGACACAAGGCAGGGGGTTTTAGGAGACCCGGCTGGAGAGGCAACTGGACAGGAGTCGGCGGGACTAGAGGCAGCTGGACTGGAGCCGGCGGGACTGGAGGCAGCCAGACTGGAACCGGCGGGACTGGAGCCGGTGGGACTGGAGGCAGCTAGACTAGAGCCGGCGGGACTGGGGGTAGCTGGACTGGGATCGGCAGAGCAAGGAGCCAGGCTGGGGCCGGCAGAGCAAGGAGTCGGACTGGAGTCGGCAGAGCAAGGGGCCGGGCTGGAGTCGGCAGAGCAAGACGTCTGGGAGGTGTCGGCAGTGCAAGACGTCTGGATAGCGTTGGTAAGGCCAGGAACCGGGTTGGGACCGGCAGAGCATGGAGCTGGACTGGGACCAGCAGGGCAAGATGTCTGGATGGCATTGGTAAGACCAGGAGCCTGAGTGGCGCCGGCAAGGCGAGGAGCCTGGGTGGCGCCAGCAGGGCGAGGAGCCAGGGTGGCACCGGCAGGGCGAGGAGCCTGGGTGGCATCGGCAGGGCGAGGAGCCTGGGTGGCGCTGGCAGGGCGAGGAGCCTGGGTGGCGCCGGCAGGGCGAGGAGTCTGGGAGACACCGGTAAAACCAGGAGCGGGACTGGAACTGCCACTGTACTGCACTGTGGGGCTGGAGCCGACACTGGCGGGCACTCTGGGGCTGGAGCCGACACTGGCCGGCGCTCTGGGGCTGGAGCCGACACTGGCGGGATCTCTGGGGCTGGAGCCGACATTGGCGGGCACACTGGGGCTGGAGCCGACACTGGCGGGCACCCTGGGGTTGGAGCCGACACTGGTGGACTCTCTGGGTCATTGGCAGTCCTCTTCCTACGCCTCCTCCGTCTGGTCGTCTGAGTAAGAGGAAGGGCGTTGTCAGCAGAAGAAGGAGCCTGCTCTGGGGCTGGAACTGACACTGGCGGGCATTGTGGGGCTGGAGCAGGCATTGGGGTTTCACAAAGTTTTTGAAGTGTCTCCAGAGGCTCAGAAAAAGGTGGTCTTTAAAAAGCCCGACCCGGATAAGCCCGCAGCTCCAACCCAGCTTCTCTCCTCCTTCCCACAGATAGATCAGCCAGCCCCGAAAATATACCTCTCTGTTGCTCATCACTCAGGCCTCCCTCCTGAGGGTTCTCCTCCTTCAAAACAACAGAGAGGGGAGAGCCAGAGATCAACAGAGCCGCCTTAATGAACCGATAAAGGTTCCAATCCTCCTCATATGGTGGCATTAGAGAACAGACTGGTTCCAAAAGTCCTCCCCGAAAGAATATCATTAACAGCATGTCGCTTTAAGAGCTCTTTGGGGCTAGCTCCAAAAACTCCTTAAAGTAACGCTCAAAGGAGCAGTTACGTTGTTTGATGCGCACAATAACATCATCTGCTGGATCTATATTCGAGTTTGTTGTTCTGTCACGTTAGTGGAATTAAAACAGGAACAAAAACGGGTGTAGGATTCAAGTGCAGTTGTAATGATGTATTGTGCAGTGACAGAGAACAAAAATCCAAAAATCAAAGTGACAAAATAACAAACAAAACAAACAAACGAGGAACTCAAACAGATTAAACTAGAACTAGACTTTAGCAACTAAGACAGGATACAAACTGGAATCAGGAACACATACCAACAAGGATAAACGACGAACGAACAAACAAGGAAGAAATGGCTGAATATAAAGTCCAAGAAATCAACGGGTATAACAGAGACAGCTGTGATTGCAAATCAGTGTAAGTGAATTCCGGTGTGTGGGCGAGGTATGGATGGATTTGTAGTTCCCCTTCGGTTGGGGAACTTCAGTGCTATTCAAGTGATTTGATCTTGGAAAATTCATGTATGGGAGGATTCGGTTGGGTCCGGTCCTCCAGAGCGGTGCGTATAAAGTTGCAACTTCGCAAAGAGAGCAACACAGTCGTGCACCACGTCCTTTTCAGGACGGCACTCCGACTGTGCGTTTCTGGATGCAGTGATTTCCTGTCCTAGGATGATAGGTACGGGCACTGCGTTGCTCGCGGGCAGTTCATGTCGTCATTGCGATGCCATGACTGTTGCGCAGTAAAGATCGCGGCTAGCCTTTGCAAAAGGGCAAACCACCCCAGTTGTCCCCTGCTCTGCAGCGGGCACTCGGGCAGATCTGAGGGTTCAGCGAGAGATAATCCGTCGCCCACGGGCCCGCGGACCTCTTCCTCCTCCAAGTGCTTCATCCAAGCTTCGGGCCTGGGAAGCGATCCGTCTAACAGATGGCAGCCCTTACGCT